TAGAAAATCCCCAGATATTCAGAAATTAAGGAATATACTTTTCTAAATAATGCATGAGTAAAAGTGAAAAAACTCATTAAAGTATCAAGCTTCTAGTTAACAGAAAAAAAAAAAATACCACTAATAACAAGAAAAGGCAAGTCACAGAATGGGAGAAAATATTTGCAATATATATGTATGGAAATCAGAAAATATTTTGAACTGAATGGCAATGAAAATAACGTATCACAAATTATTGGATGCAACTATAGCCAGGCATGGTGGCTCACTTCTGTAATCCCAATACTTTGGGAGGCCAAGGTGGGAAGATCACTTGAGCCCAGGAGTTCAAGACCAGCCCAGCCAACAGCAAAAAGCAAAACCCCATCTCTACAAAAAGTACAAAAATTAGCTGAGTATAGTGGTGCACACCTGTAGTCCCAGCTACTCAGGAGGCTGAGGTGGGAGAATCACTTAGGCCTGGGAGGTCAAGGCCACAGTGAGCAGTGTTCATGCCACTGGACTCCAGCCTGGGCTATAGCACGAGATCTTGTTTCAAAAAAAAAAAAAGAAGTTATTGAATAAAACTAAAATAGAGACAAAGGGAAATGTATAGCCCACTATAGCCCACTACAACTACCAATATGGCTGAAAACGTTTTTTAACTAACAATACCAAACATTGGAAAACTGTTTGAAGTATCTATCATAACATGTACCTATGTGGTGACATAGCAATTACACTCCTGTTATACCCAACCTTAATGAGTAAATATGTGCCCCAAAAGATGTGGACAGGAGAATTCATGGCAGGTTTCTTAATAGCCAGAAAATGGACACAACACAAATGCCCAGGAATAATAAAATGAGTGAACAAATTGCATGGTTATACAGTGGAATACTCCTCAACCACAAAAAAAGAATGAACTACTGATGCATACAACAACATGGAGGAATCTTGCAAATAGAATGTTGCCCGAAAGACAAGAGTACATACTTTACAATTCCAAAACTAATCTACACTGACATATACCAGAACAGTGGTTACCTTGGGATGGGGGTGGAGGGAGGACTGACTGAGAAGGGACATTTCTAGAGTACAAATAATATACCATGACTTAATCCAGGTATGCTTACATAAGTGTATAGTGTGTAAAAATTAATCGAGTTGTACTCTTAAAATCTGTGCATTTTATTATTATGTATGTTGTACTTTAATTTTTAAAATGAAGCTTTTTTGAAAAAGCAAAATGAAAATAAACATAAAATTCCAGAAAGTGGCTGGGCACAGTGGTTCACAGCTATAATCCCAGTACTTCAGGAGGCTGAGGCAGGTGGATCACCTGAGGTCAGGAGCTCGAGACCAGCCTGGCCAACATGGTGAAACCTCATCTCCACTAAAAATACAAAAATTAGGGCAGACATGGTGGCTTACGCCTGTAATCCCAGCACTTTGGGAAGCCGAGGCGGGTAGGTCACGAGGTCAGGAGTTCGAGACCAGCCTGGCCAACATGGTGAAACTCCATCTCTACTAAAAATACAAAAATTAGCTGGGAGTGGTGGCGGGCGCCTGTAATCCCAGCTACTTGGGAGGCTGAGGCAGGAGAATCACTTGAACCCCAGAGGCAGAAATTGCAGTGAGCCGAGATTATGCCACCGCACTCTAGCCTGGGCAAAAAGAGCAAAACTCCTTCTCAAAAAAATAAAATAAAATAAAACTCCAGAAAGTGGTCATTTCTGGAGCAGAGACCAGAAGATAGACGAGGAGAGGCTAACATTCATACATACAATGCGTATACCCTTCTGTATGCATCAAATATTAAATGCTAACACACACATTATATTAGTAAAAACAAATTCTTCAAATATTTACCACGCATGTACTGAACTCCGGAAGAATTTTAAAAGCAAAATGAATATAAATGACTCTCACTGATGTTTGAATACATGAAGACAATTGCATTAATTTAATAAGTGCCCTCCTAGCGTCATGCTGATTGTACCTTCAAGAGACCACTTTGTATGACGTAGGCCATAAGCATGACAGGCATTATTGAATGCATACTGTCTGTTGGGCACAGTTGTGAATGCTTTACATGCATTTAATTGTCATATAACCATATGAGGCCAGTACTGTTATCACCCCAATTTAACAGATGGGGAAACACACACAGGGAGTTCAAGTGATTTGCTGGTGGCCTCACAGCAGGCAAGCAGCCGAGCCAGCATTTGAAGCCTGCTTTTGAATGGCTGTCTGGTTTCAGAGCCTGCTCGCTCTACCTCTGCACCACTCTGCCTCTTTTAAGGAGCACAGCTCCCATTTCTGGGAGTTTTCCACCATACCCCTGACTTCTGAAGAGGACTGAAATGGAGTTGCAGGGTGTCCATAGAGAGGGGGCTTGTGACACGTCTGTAATTACAATGACAGTGAATTGCATTGTCATCACTGACAAAGACAATCATAATAAACATTGAGCCCACATTGTTCTATATCACAGAATATATTAAAAAGTTGCTATGATTAAACAATTAACAAGCTTTTTAATTCCAGATCTTCACTAAGAAATAACCTGGATCGGCCAGACACGGTGACTCCCACTTGTAACTCCAATACTTTGGCAGGCTGAGGCGGGTGGAACACCTGAGGTCAGGAGTTCGAGCCCAGGCTGGCCAACATGGCGAAACCCCGTCTCTATTAAAGATATAAAAATTAGCCTGGAGTAGTGGCATGCACCTGTAATCCCAGCTACTGGGGAGGCTGATGCAGGAGAATCGTGTAAACCAGGGGGGCTGAGGTTGCAGTGGGCCGGGATCACACCACAGCACTCCAGCCTGGGTGACAGAATGAGACTCCCTCTCAAAATAAATAAATGAACAAACTAAGAAATAACCTGGATAAATTATCTTCTCTCTCTGAATTCTCTCTCATCGTTTTCTGGCTTATGGCACCTACAACTTTATATTTACTTATTTTATTTATTTATTTGTTTGTTTGTTTGTTTGTTTGTTTTGAGACTGAACCTATTCTATTGCCCAGGCTGGGGTGTAGTGGCACGATCTCAGCTCACTGCAAGCTCCACCTCCCGGGTTCACGCCATTTTCCCACCTCAGCCTCCCGAGTAGCTAGGACTACAGGTGCCCACCACCACACTCGGCTACTTTTTTGTATTTTTAGTAGAGACGGGGTTTCACCGTGTTAGCCAGGATGGATCACCTACGACTTTATAAATGCTTGAGCATTTGTTTCTGATTCTTCTTTGTCTTCTTGTGGGGCATGTTACTTAGACATGGAAGATGCTGAGTAAATATCTTTGTAATATCTGTGAAATAGCTGAGTCCATACATGACAAATAAATAAAGATGACGTCAAACATCCAAGGTCTTTGCAAAAGCTCCCACGTGTCCCTTGGCCTTGCCCGTCATATTCACTGCTGTAACCCTGAGATTTAGAAAAGAGCCTGTAAGTTGTAAGTGCTCACTCAATACCAAGTTTTGGTTCAATGACTGAAAGCAGGAATGACAGATAATTCTGGCACTTTGTAAAATATCTGTAGACCAAGCCTCATCTCTGTGAAAAGCCTTGCTGACACGGGACCGGTCGACATGTCTACCAACTCAGAGGGATAAGGAAGAGGCACTACACTGCTGGGTCGTGATAAGAGAAGAAGGCATCTACAATGCTGGAGTGGACAGCAGGCTGGAGGGAGAATCCTTTTAAGAAAACCCATGCAGGCGGCGGGTGCGAGTCTCCCAGGTTTTCAGTGAGCGGTTCTTACCATGCACAGGGGAGGATAGGGATGAGGGTAAATGTCTTGAGTATCTCTGAGAATTTTCTTTTTTCATCTTTTTTTTATTTTTCTGAGATAGAGTCTTGCTCTGTTGTCCATGCTGGAGTGCGGTCACAGCTCACTGTAGCCTCCAACTTCTGGGTTCAAGCCATCCTCCTGCCTCAGCCTCTTAAATGGCTGGGACCACAGGCACACCACCACACTTGGCTAATTTTTTTTTTTAATTTTGTAGAGACAGGGTCTCACTATGTTGACCAGACTGGTCTCAAACTCCTGGCCTCAAGCAATCCTCCTGCTTTGGCTTCCTAAGCCCAGCGAGAATGTTCTTTCCTTGACTAGTAAGAGTTCAGCAGTGTCTGCCAGGCTGAGCAAGTGGAGCTCCAGGGTCAGGTGGGTGGAAGAAGTTCCGTCCTCAGTCTCCCTGCTCCACTCCTGTCTCTTGTTTTCTTTTGGGAATTCTTTCTCTAGCGATGGGGAAGGCATGTGATGGCCTTTTTAAGGATAGAACATCACGAGTCATCTGGAACTGCCTCTTGGGGAAAGACTGTTCTCTTCCCTTAAAAAGCATGCCTTGTTCTTCCAGGAGAGATGCTTGCCTTCCTTCCTCCCCCTCCTCTCCACCCTTCCCTTCCCACTCTAGCCTCTCCTTCAAGCTGTCTTGCGTCCTCTTCTCCCTACTCCTGCCTTTTTCTCTGGTCCTCAGCGGGGAAAGCCAGAAGCCTAATCTCAGGAGCAGAAAAAATCTCCAAACCAATACACAGAGCCCAGGAGAAATGATCTGGAGCAAAGTGCTTCTCAGGGGCTCGTGCAGCAGAAAATCAGAACCTGATCATCTGGTCTGATGTGTCTGTTCCTATCCTTTGGTTGCAGAAGATCAAGTTCTGGCCATCACACATGTTGATGTCTGATACAAGGCATTGCTTAGCAAAGCCCTGAACTCTGCCTCCCACCACCACTCCCCTGGCTAAGTGAGGTCTGGGGGGCTGACATCGGCCTGGCCTCATCACTCTCTGACTCCCAGACTCGGAACCTAGTATCAGGGAGATTTCATCCCAAGACCTCCTTGTCTTCTGGGGGCCTTCATTCATTCACAACATTCTGAGTGAGTTCTTATGTCACCTGCCTCAACAACTTTGCTTCTCCGCTTCCAGTTATTTCTATCTTGGTCCATTTTACCGGCTCCTTCTCTTTCCACCACTTTTCTCTCTGTCTCCTTCATTTCTTCCTGTTCTAGGTGCTTCACATGGCCCTGTCTGCAGGCACCTCTCTCGTTTCTGTCTCCGGGAGCGTTCTCCTCCATCCTCCCTCCTTCCTGGGGACTCTGGGAAGTGCCTGAGTGTGGCCTTGCAGGTTGCGCCACCGCTTTCATCCCGATCCAGGTGGCTGCAATCCAGTACAGGATTTACGCTGCCCTGACCCTGAGCCGTCAAGAAGGAACAGCCAGATTAATGGGGTGGGCGGGCTGGGGTAATAATCGTTTGTTTGATGTGACAAGCCTGATAGGCGTTGATTTACTTACAGACTGATGGGCTTTTAATTGAGCACGCCATCCCAGTCACTTCAAAGGCAGGGGAAGTTGACAAGGGGCCCCTTTCACGAGGACTCCTGGTGACTGACAGGCCCCCTCTGCTAAGACTCCCGCCTGGCCCAGGACCGGCCCGGGCAGCCCTCACCCGGCTCTGTACCAAAGGAACACATTTTCTGTAACTCAGAAATAGCCTTTTGTCTACTGCCGAGGAAGGCGGCCCCTGCTCGGAAGGCCTCACATCTCTCAGAGGGGTGAGGAATAAGGAGGAATAGGGGAGCCTGAGATGGGGCTGCAGAAAGGGCCTGGAGGAGGTAGGGGAGATTCCATGCCCTTGATGTGCAAATGGCGACTTTGTTCTGACTTCCTGTGTTGAGCCAGCCTCCTCCACCTCACTTTCTCCACCTTCTCCTCACTTCCTCCCAGTCTCTCTCTCTCTCTATATGTGTGTGTGTGTGTGTGTGTATTATATATGTATATATGTATTATATATACATATATATGAAAATATATATTTATATATCATTTATATTATATATACATATGTAATATATATGAAATATATATTCATATGTAATACATATACATGAAAATTATATGTATATGTATTATATGTATAATACATATACATACAATTTTCTACTTTTTTTTTTAAATTAGAGACTGGGTCTCATTATGTTGCCCAGGCTGGTCTCAAACTCCTGGGCTCAAGGGATCCTCCAACCTTGGCCTCCCAAAGTGCTGGGATTACAGGCGTGAGCCACTGGGCCTGGCTGCTCCCTCTTTTCAAGCCCTTCTTTTTGTATTATCCTTCCCAGTTCTCGGGCCCCTTCCTTCTCCCCCTCTTTCTCCTCCCACTTCCTCCTTCCTTCTGCCTCACAGGAGAGGCCAGAAAAGGTGGAGTCAGCTCCTAATGTCCCTGGAGTAGTGGCCCGTTCACAGCAGCCCCCTCCTCCCTGACAACCACCCTTTCTCCCCCAGGCTGTAGGCTGTGAGGCCTTCAGACCAGGACACCGTTGGACGTGGAGGCGGGGCCTCTACAGTAAACCCCTCTCTCCTACAGATCACACTACAATGAACAGAAGCCACAGACACCCAGGCCTAAGGCCAGGGACTCAGGTTCAGTGCAGTTTCTATCCCATTCTTGTTTGGTCCGGAAGATGCTAGGCCAAATGTGATTAATATTAAAACAGAGGTTTTATTCTGTTTGAAATGTTAGAAAACATTCTTTATCAAGGATGTTCTGTCGAAATGGATTTGCTTTGGTTTTGTTTTGTTCAAGTCCCATAGGACACAGTCCCTGACCTCTAGGAGGAGGGACCTTCTACATCAACCCCCAAACTTCATCACTAAGTGGGGAGTGGGGATGGAAGGGAGGTCAGTGAGACTCCCACCCTGCAGGAGCTTTGAGTTCTAAGTCAGGCCCTTTTAGTGACTGCCAGAGATAGTAGGCAAGCCCTGTTCCCTGCGTTCCTCTTTTTTTCCCTGTGGTAACTTACCCAGGCACGCAGAGCCAGGCCCCGGCTAGAAAGACCATGGTAATAACTCACATTTGCATGCCACCATTTCATTTGGAAGGGACCTTCTTTTTTTCTTTTCCTTTTTTTTTTTTTTTTGAGACTGTCACCAGGCTGGAGCGCAGTGGCTCGATCTCGGTTCACTGCAACCTCCACCTCCCGGGTTCGAGCAATTCTCCTGCCGCAGCCTCCCGAGTAGCTGGGACTACAGGTGTGTGCACCACGCCCAGCTAATTTTTCTATTTTTAGTAGAAATGGGGTTTCACCATGTTGGCCAGGATGGTGTCAATCTCGTGATCCACCCCCGCCCCCCCACCGCCCCTGCCGCCCTGGCCTCCCAAAGTGCTGGGATTACAAGCATGAGCCACACCGCGCCTGGCGGCACTTTCACATATATTATCTTAATTAGTCTTTTAACAACTGTGGGAGGTAGATAAGCGCAATGTTATTATGCCCATTAGACAGATGATAAAATTGAGACTCAAAGGATGATGTGCTCCTAAGAGGCAAAACTGAGTCTCAAACTGGGGAATTCTCCTGCTTCTTCTTCCACCGCCCCTCACTGCATCCCAATGACTATTGCCCCATTCCTCTGGAAGCTGCATTTTCTCACTCTAAACAGATAGGTGGTTTGTTCCCATTTCCCTTTGTCTTTTTCCCCCTTTGTCTTTTTCCCCCTTTTAGGTCCTTCCCCACCCTCCTGGCCTCGGTGTCCAGAGTCAGAGAGCCTCCAGCCCTAACCTTACGAGGCAGAGCTCTCCCACTGCTCTCTGTTTCAAAGCTCACTTACAAATGTTGCCTGGGAGCCTGATGTTCCCTCAAGATTTGCTGCCCCCACCTCTCCTCTCATCCATAGAAGGGCCATAGGTGAGGTGCCTGGGCCTTTGGTTCTCTGCTGTTGAGAACGTGTTCACCAAGGTAGCTCATGACCTGTTGGAGGGGTATTTCCCACTGCAGATCTAAGCCCCAGGGCTGACGCTTGAGAGAAATCAATTAGCTCTCCCTTCTCTGCCTCTATGCCTTGAATCTAATATTTTCACAGAACTATTAATGCCCTGAGATATTATGGCTTGTTTACACATTGGTCCCCTCACTGGAGAGTCCAGTCCTTTAGGGCAAATACATATCTGTTCATCTTATATCCCCAGGGCTCAATGGTGCCAGTTTAGCTGAAATGTTTCTTGTTGAAAGTTTTGTTGGCCCAGACTGTGTGGTGGTTCATGCCTGTAATCTCAGCAATTTGTGAGGCCGAGGAAGGGCAATTGCTTGAGCCCAGGAGTTTGAAACCAGCCTGGGCAACAGGGTGAAACCCCATATCTACAAAAAATTAAAAAAAATTAGCTGGGCATATTGGCATGCTCCTACAGTCCCATCAACTCAGGAGGGTCAGGTGAGAGGATTGACTGGGCCTGGGAGATCAAGGCTGCAGTGAGCTGTGAGTGCACCACTGCACTCCAGCCTGGGTGACAGAGTGAGATATTGTGAAAAGAAAAGAGAAGAGGAGAAGAGAGGAGAGGAGAGAAGGGGAAGAGAAAGGGAAGGGAAGGGAAGGGAAGGGAAGGGAAGGGAAGGGAAGGGACTAAGGAAGGAAGGAACGAACCAAGGAAGGAAGGAAGGAAGGAAGGAAGGAAGGTTGGTTTTGTGTGAAAGGCCGAATAGTGGACTGGTGGAGTCAAATAGCCTACGAGAATTTGAATCCCAGCTCCACTGCTTGCCAGCTACTGTTGGACAAGGCATTTAAATGTTCCATGCCTCAGTCTCCTCATCTGTAAAATGGGACAAAAATAGTACCTACCTCATAAAGTTACATTATGAGGCTTTCGTGAGTTAATAACATATTTCATCTCATCCACAATGCGCTGTTATTTTAGGTCCAATAAAGAAAGAAAACAACTGCTGTTAAATAATCAGTGACACGGTGCCTTTTTTATCTGTGTCAGAGATGTTTAAAATGTAGGGAAAATGCATCTTAGAATTGATTAGCGATGTCTGTGTGAACCACACAGAACAGTCGTTGGCACACAGAGCCTGCTATGAGAGTGAGAGCTACTGTCTGTCATTGCTGTTGAACTGAATTCTCACAAGAACCTGATGATGAGTTCACTTAATCCTCGTTTTACAGATGAGGAAACAAAAATGCAGAGAGCTGAGGTGGCTTGACCAAGCTCACTCTGCCAGGTAATACTCAAAGGCATTTAAACCTGCCTTTGAGGTGCAATAATCTGAGGTGATTATAGTCGCTGGCAGCGGCCCACCAAGCTACCAGGGAGTTAGGAGCTGCGTTTTGTTCTCAATTGCGTTCTCTTTCCTTAATCTAAGCTTTGTTTCCCCTCTGGTATAATTAATCTCCTTATTCCTCCCCCTCCTCATTTTTACTTGGCTCTGATCTTTCTACCTTTCTGCTAATGGTTTCAGGTTTTACTGTATCTGCATTTGAAATTGTAAGCAACTTCAGATCTTTTATGGTGGTGGAAGGAGTATAAATAAATATAAAGGCAAAAACTGGCTTTTAAAGATGACAGGTAGCAAGAAAAAAGATAGAGAGAATATGCCCACAATCACATGTGGGGTGTGTAGGCTCCACGTGGACACCCTGAGGGACAGCCCAGCCAGTGCCCACCCAGACACCCTGCCCCCTGGCTCCCTCCAGCCTTCCGTGAGAGCCTCTGATGCCAAGTGCCTTGACAAAAATGCAGAAAGCTCCACATGCCTCTCAAGCCAGTTATTGGCCACACCAGACTCTTTCTCCCATGAACCAGCAAGACACTATGGTGTGGAGGGGAGGTTTGATGGGGGAGGGAAGTGGTTACAATTAACTGTTCTAGAACCTTCTCTGGCTCTGTTTGGCACCTCTAAAGAAGCAGCAGCTACTTGAAAGTGTAAGTTTCTAGCTTGCTATTGCAATGAGTCTGAGGCAAAGGAAGAAATCCTGTTAGCTCCAAAAGGAACCCATGTAAAAGGTATATCACTGTTTTTACCATCAAGAAAAAAAGTCTTGGCCAGGTACAGTGCCTCACACCTGTAATCCCAACATATTGGGAGGCTAAGGCAGGAGGATTCTTAAGGCCAGGAATTCGAGACCACCCTGGCAACACAGCGAGACCCCTTCTCTACAAAAAAATGTTTAAAATTCACCAGCATAGTGACACGCACCTGTCATCCCAGCTACTCTGGAAGATGAAGCAGGAGGATCGCTTGAGCCCAGGAGTTTGAGTCTGCAGGGAGCTAAGATCACAGAACTGCATTCCAGCCTGGTCAACAGAGCAAGACAGTGTCTCTAAAACAAGGAGGGGTGGGGAGGGGA